AATAATAATAATAATAACTAAAACCTTCCATGTATAGCCAAATTCTACCTAAAAATGTATAAGACTGTCAGTAGAGGTTGGAAGTAACCAGTTATTAGTAATGTAGTTACTCACAACTAGTTACTTTTGACAAGCAGTAAACAGTTACAAAATTACTTTTTAGTTGTAATGTGTACATGACTCAGGTGCAATGGCACATGCTCTCTCTCTTCTAACAACAAAGACAATTACTTTCTGTTGAAATCAGCATTCATCAATGCTGTAGTACTTCATACAAAGATTGTCTCTCCCTCGCTCACATCTGTCTACACTGAGGGCCAGGTGAAGCAGTAACGTTCTTAGAAGCTGACAAGATAGACTGACCCTCACCTGCTTCCTTTATATGCTTGTAAACATCATCTGAACCAGCAGAGGAATATGGAATGTCATCATGGGCAACAAAATCAATCTGGAAAGCACAGGAGAAGGAAAATTAAGTTTGTCTGCCTTGGTTATTGTTTGGGAAATGCAATTTCTTTATTTGCCAATGGAAGTCTACCTATGAGATTGAAAGCATATGTACTGATATGTTAAACTAAGACATTGTAAAACTAGGCTCTTCTGATGAGTATATACAACATGCCTTGGTGTAATGCATGTGCTACTAAAAGAGGGCCTAAAGTTGGTCAGAACTGACTTTTACTTTTCCAGTGACTGCCACAGAACAACTCTCTATGCAATGATCTTTCTTAGGGAAAGCCCTGTTGTAGTATTTGAGGGAGGTGATTCTCAATACAATACAGTTAGAAAAGTGGAATTACTCCAAACACATTAAGTATTTATGGTAAAACTACTGATCTTGATATCTGTCTATGTCTGAACACAAGTATTCAGATGCCACAAATATGCTCTGCAGTAGTGAAGGGGTAGCCAACAGTGGGCAGTATCCTGTGGTGCTATCACAAATGATGTGATGGTCTCAGATATCTAGTTCTGGACTATGCACAATGTGTAAATTGGCTATGCTGGCAGGTTGCACAGATGTACTGTTTGTATTGTTGTTGTTTAGTCATTTAGTCGTGTCCGACTCTTTGTGACCCCATGGACCAGAGCAGGCTGGCGCCCCTGTCCTCCACTGTCTCCTGGAGTTGGGTCAAATTCATGTTGGTAGCTTTGATGACACTATCCAACAATCTTGTCCTCTGCTGTCCCCTTCTCCTCTTGCCTTCACACTTTCCTAACATCAGGGTCTTTTCCAGGCAGTCTTCTCTTCTCATGAGATGGCCAAAGTATTGGAGCCTCAGCTTCAGGATCTGTCCTTCCAGTGAGCACTCAGGGTTGATTTCCTTTAGAATGGATAGGTTTGTTCTCCTTGAAGGCCAGGGGACTCTCAAGAGTCTCCTCCAGCACCACAATTCAAAAGCATCCATTCTTCGGCGGTCAGCTTTCTTTATCGTCCAGCTCTCACTTCCATACATCATAGCCTTGACTATGTGGACTTTTGTTGGCAAGGTGATGATTCTGTTTTTTAAGATGGTGTCGAGGTTTCTCATTGCATACTGCTGAAGCCTACCTTGGAGGATTTTAGCATAATCTTGCTAGCGTGTGAAATAAGTACAATTGTACGGTAGTTGGAGCATTCTTTGGCACTGCCCTTCTTTGGGTTCAGGATGTAGACTGATCTTTTCCAGTCCTCTGACCACTATTGAGTTTTCCAAACTTGTTGGCATATTGATTGTAGCACCTTTACAGCGTCATCTTTTAAGATTTTAAATAGTTCCACTGGAACGCCATCACCTCCACTGGCCTTGTTGTTAGCCATGCTTTCTAAGGCCCACTTGACTTCACTCTCCAGGATGTCTGGCTCAAGGTCAGCAACCACACTATCTGGGTTGTCCGGGACATCCAGATCTTTCTGGTATAATTCCTCTGTGTATTCTTGCCACTTCTTCTTGATGTCTTCTGCTTCTGTGAGGTCCCTGCCATTTTTTATCTTTAGCAGATTGCAAAACTGATTTAGCAACTGAGTGCACTAGCAGTGGCATGCCTAGGGAACCACAGAGCAAATGCATTTCTGTTTGCACAACTGGAAGATGCAAGAGAATTTCACTAGGGAACTCTTTTCCTCCACTGATGTTTAGGCTCTTGTCATGGGTATGTACTTGAATAATGACATTGTCAATCCATTGTAAGGCACTGCTGTTATTAGGAAGCAAAATACGAGTTCACTCTAGGTTATCTGCACATCTAGCTTTTGATTGACCACACTACATAGTTGGAAGAAAATTCAGTTTTCTACTTTTGTACAGTGGTACCTCGCAAGACGATGGATTTTCCATGATGATGATTTCGCTAAACAGTGATTTCAATGGGATGAATTATCGTCGTCATACAGGGCACCATTGTATCTAGATGTATGTGTATTACAACTCAACCTTCCCCAACCTGAAGCCCTTTGGATGTTTTGGATTAGAACTCCTCACTGCAGACCCTTGGCCATGTTAGTGAGTTTGAGCTCTTTCAGGAACTAGAATCTAAAACATTTGGAGGACATAACTTGAAGTAAGTTGGCCTAGAGTACAGAAGTGAAACTCAAGAGAGAGCTAGAGGAAGCATTATTTTCAGAGTGTGGAAAAGCCAGCAGATATACTGGATGGGAGATTCTGGAAGTTGTAGTAATAAAACACCCCTTTCCAAGAGCTGGTTGTTTTCCATCTTTGGTAACAATCTGAAGCAAAAATGAATGGAAGAGGCAAGTGAATGCTCCAGTCCAGAATTCCAGTGTGGTGTATAAATGTGTCAAATTTGTATTCAGAATTGGATCATCAGAAATATATAGCAACATCACTAATAAGATGCTGATTCTCCCAATGCATGGTAAAAAAAAGAAAAGAAAGTCACCTTATGCTTTTCCAGGAACTCTGGTGTGAGTGTCCACGGAGCATCTCTGATTACCTCATCTACATACCGGCAGTGCCTGAGTGCTTCATATCTCTCGGCTTCATTCATTACCGTAAAGCCTTTAAACTTATGGGTTAAATCATCGCTACAAACTGACAGACACAAAAGAAAAATTCAAAACACAGTGACACAGCCTCTGTCAAATGCAGCACACATCTGTTAGATTAGAACATTTTCCAAAGCTATTCTGTGATTTAAATTTGTAGCTGTCAAACCAAATCAGCATGATTCATGACTGTAAAATCAAAATAAAACAGCCCAGAACACAGAAGTTGCAAACAAGATGTCACAAAGGATGGTTCTCTTGACTCCATGCCTAGATATAGGCTTAGGTAAAGCAATATAGATTGATCTGCAGTTCAAATCGCCTGCTGGCATACCAGAAAAGAATGAAATCCTTTAATTACGTCTCTCTTGTAATGAATTACCTGCAAAATCTAAACAAAGCATCATCTTTCTTTCTTACTATAGAGCACAATTCTGCAAAGCCTACTTACAGGCTTTAAACTACAGTATCTGTTTAATATATCTCAGTTGTATGAGAGAATGGGCTCCCACAAGTAATTATTCAATAACATCCTTTGTATAGAGAGGAGAGTGAAAAATTGGTAGCAACATTATAGATAGGAACTTACAAAAGAGCTTCCTGGATCCAGCCAAACAGGCATATAGCAAAACCCAGGCATAGTGTGTTATGAAGGTAATCTCAATCTACTACCAATACGAGATGAGCCCCTATGTTCAGACCATGGATCACTGGTATTCTCTAGTCCAGCAGTATCATCTTTTCAATGACTGACCTATATGTTGTCTCTGGGAAGTCCTGGAGCAGTACATTATGGCAATAGCTAATGTTGTTTCTCAGAAACTGGTAAAATAAATGATTTAGAAATGGGTGAATTTAAAACCGCAATTTCCTGACCACTCAGTGCCCACTTTGCAGACTATACCACACAGTTCATCAAGATATAACAGTTATTCATATGTTGGCCTTACCTCCTACTAATAAGTAGCTATTGGGAAACAGAGTTTTGGCTTGCATGAGAGCTCTAGCATGGCCAGAATGAAAGAGATCAAATATTCCATCTGCATAGACTCTGACCGGTCTATCTACTGTGGGAAAAAGGAATAATGTCCAGGTCAGACAGATCAGTACCTTAAATCTATGTTAGACTATAATCATATACTTTATAAATATATTTAGTGTATACAATGAATACACTAAAGACAGAAAGAACCATGCTGGGTGAAACCAAAGTCCTCTCTAGTCCAAGATTTGTCTTCTCATAGAGGTTAACCAGACAGTAAGCCCTCCAGGAGAACATGAAGACAAAAGCCCCTTTGTCTCACATACCACAGCAACTAATATACATAGTCATACTGCCTGTGACACTGGAAATATTACAATTGTTGTCTTGACTAAAAGTTAATTACGACTCATTCAGAGCTTGAAAGTAATCTGTTAAATTAACATATAGTACAATTATCACTCTAGGAAAATGTGTCTAGTTGTAACAAAATGACACTTTGGAAGGAACACATTAGCCTAAAATTGTTACTTTAAAAACGTTACTATAGATGCATCGATTCGATTGTTCTCCAGTTTAACAAAACTAACAAAATTGCTTTTTAACTGAGATCCAGTGAGGTGGTGTTTTTATCTTTTCTTATTTGGCAAATTCATGAAGATTAAAAGAAGCCCAGATTAGAAAAGTAACTCACTATAAATTTAAAGGATGTCATATAAAATAAACAATCAACTTTTAAGAAATGCATGATGGATGCATATAGAATTGGAATGTTTCTATAAAGAATTAAAAAGGAAAACCAATCATACTTTAATATGGCAATTATAAACATTTTGCTAATATACTACGATATATGAAAATGCCATTGTTATGCAACAAATTTGTAAATGGCTCACAAGTACTTACAATTTTTATTATCTATAGTTTCAAACTGAAAATAATAAAATGTGTTTGTGCTGCCTCTGGGATTCTAGGAGATGTAGTCCGAAAAAGGAAATGTTCACATCCTTGCTTTAATAACATTGGAATGACTGACAGGGATAAATTATTTTTCAAACACTTTATCTAATAAGAAGAACAAATTACTAACAACCTCATTCCCCTTTCCAAGCTCTGTCCATGAACATAATTCTTTTTTATATTAATAGAAGTGATATTTTTATCTTATATTTATAGACAGACTTTCAATAAATTTGTCTGGGAAATTTACAAAATGCAAACATGCACTGCAAATTCACGATGACATTACTAATTACAGAAATACAAACTGTCTTTCCTCTAAAATCTTGTTTAAAAAGCAAAGGCAAAGATGAATGCTCTATCTATAAAATTTGCCTTCATCTTATAAACCAAGACTCACCTGGTGTTCCAAGGCGGGCCTGAGCAACTGTGAGCTTTTCATGAGGAGCTCTGCACTGACAGCTTGTTTCACCTGCAAATGGAGCAGGTGCACACAAAGTCTAGAAGGTGAGGAAAGGGAAATCAGGGGAATAAAGACCAAAGGATATGATAAATCCAACAAAAGCAACTTGTTCCTTGGCATTATGCAGTAGCATTTGATAAGGATACAATGGTTGAAATCTTATTGCTCAGTGTAGTAAACTGGACAACAGTAGGCCCACTGAATCAGTTGGGATTTGCTCTGTCAACTCCTCTGTAAGTTCCATTGACTACTCTACTGTAATGGGACTACTCTAGTGGCAATTTACTTTAGTGTAGTGAATTGCAACTAGAGTAAGTCCATTTGAATCAACAGAACTTATGGAGGAGGTGATTCACCAAATCCCCACTGATTCAGTGGGTCTACTTTAATACAACTTACTACACTAAGCAACAGGATTTCAACCCTACTATGTCAGTTCAGTGTTCAAGAGAATGAACAATGAAGCATTTTTATACTACAGCGGTGCTTCGACTTATGAACATCCTGACACACGAGCATTTAGAGTTTTGACCAGCTCCAGCTGCAAAATTTTGTTTTGACTTGTGGCTGGAGCTTCCAGTTACGAACAGAAAAAGGCAGGGAAAAAAGGCGGGGAATTCAAATTGCTAACTTTTGGTAGGCGAAGAGGCTGTTTCTTTGTAGCTCTTTTGCCCCAGCAGTTAGAGTGAGTGCATTCGGAGGTGGCTTTGGACTGCCTGGTAAGCTAAGGTGCTGTTTTCTGCTTTCTAAAAACTGTTCTGGGTGGGTTTTGCAGCGTGGTTTTGGGCTGGGTGGTGGGATTATGTTTTTATGCTGTGATGGGTCTTGTAGGGTTTGTTTGTTTTTTGGTGTTTTCCCCTCGTTTCTGATGGGTCTTGTGGGGGTTTGTTTGTTTGTGGGTTCCCCTCCATTTCCAATGGGTCTTGCAGGGCTTGTTTGCTTTCTGCTTTGCTTTTTTTGCATTTCTGATGGGTCTTGCATGGTTTGTTTGCTTTCTGCTTTTTTTTTTTTTTTTGCATTTCCGAAGGGTCTTACAGTGTTTGTTTTTTCTCCCCCCCCCTTCAGCACGAATGGATTAATCGTGTTTCCGATGGGCCTTGCAGTAGTTGGTTTTTTAATGATTTTTTCTTCTGCCAGAACAGATTAATTGCATTTCAATGCATTCCTATGGGAAATGGTGCTTTGATTTACGACCATTTCGAGTTACGACTAGAATTCTGGAACCAATTAAGTTCCTAAGCTGAGGCACTACTGTATTGCAGAAAACTGCTTTTAGCCCAGATCTAATGCTTTGAAAACTGGCATAAGAATAGTATAAAGCAATCCATCTGCCTATTGATTTCAAGCCACAGTCTCATTGGCTCTAGACCTTGAGCATGAGAGTCCGCATTCTTGGGTTAGACCTTGAGCATGAGAGTCCACATTCTTGGATTACTGGGTTACAGAATATGTTTTCCCAATGGCTGCTTGTACCTGTACAACTTCTACCAGTTGTACAGGTAGAAGTTGAACCAAGGCATGCTTCCTACGTTGTTACAACAACAGGGTATTTCTAAACATGTCTTTAAAAAGTAATTAAGGATTCAAAGAATCCTTAAGAAAAGATAAGTGTTATGGCCATGTTCAGTACTGTATTACCGTGCAAGAAACTTCAGCTGTGGAAGCTCCTGTAGCAATCTGACAAGGTATCACTTGGTGCCTGTTGTGCATGGCTGGCATCTCCTGATTGCTGGACCAGGTCGCACAACTAGATGTTATGCTTTAGAACAGTAGCTATAATCCCTGGTCCCGCTCATGTCTTGGACTTCATCTCCCAGATTCTCTTACTATTGCCCATGGTCAGTAGACGTGAAATCCAAAACTTCTGGACGGCCAAGGTTTGAGACACACTGTTCTCATATCTTCATACCTTTTCTATACATTACTGTATTTAATCCAGCTTCTGAAACAGAAGAGTCTAAAACCGTCTGTTCCCCTTTTTTTCCTGCTGAAGACACGTAAGCCCACCCCTGCATTGCATTTAAGAGGGTATTTTGAAGAACTTGGTAACAATATTAGAGAAACACTGGCTTGAACAGAAGTACAGATTCTTTCCTCTAACGCCACTGTGATGGGCACTTTGCAAACCCTCTCCTTCACCACCTTTCTTACAACAAGATTTTTCTGCACAAGACATTTTTCCTCACTTGAGAAATCTTGTGGGAAGTCTCATGAGATTGCTTGGAAATTCAATAATCATCTGTTCTGGTTGTGCTGGATTATTACAATTCCTGTGGAGAATGACAGATTCACTGCTCAAGATTTGTCCAGAAATGCAAAAAGAAATGCCAAGTTTTGTAGAATTATTACACTTCTTTAAAAGCATGGTATCTTTCCCTTATAAGAGTCACAGGAAATGGAGCCATGTTAAATCTGGCAGTTTACTGTGCCAAAAAGAGGGAGAGAGGGGTGGGACGGGATAGGAGGGGGGAGCAGGAAATGAGGGCAGTGTCTTTTATTTAATTTTTCTTTTTTTGCAGGAAGCCAGGACATCTCACTGATAAAACAAGGAGTCTTAATGGGGAATCTTTGCATGGCCAGACTTGAAAAATTGTCATGAATGATTTTTTCCCCCATGTACAGTACTTGTAACATCCTTAGTCATGTGTCATGTGTGCTGCAGGTAAGGCTGTGTGGGTATTCCTTCTGGGCCAGGTTTTCAGTATTAGCCAGATTTTTATCCAGATGCCCCTGTGCTATCTGTTCTATATTTTAATTGGTGGTTAAACTATCTTCTAGGAACAGACTGTAGTTTAATCACTTTGCAAGTTTGTTTTGCTTGCAAAGTGGAGAGTGTGGATGTCACTTGCAATTGTTGCCATAGAAATTAGAATGTTGGGAAGAGGGTCAGCATCAAATTGAAGAATCCTGGAGGAGGGAGAAAAGGGAGGTGGCCAAAGAGCGAAGCAAATAACTGGTAGGTGGGTGGGAGAACACAACAAAGGGAAAGAAAGTCAATGAGATGTGAAATCAATCTGTGCCCCTCAGTCTCAGATTTGGCCTTGAAACATCAGGAGATGGGATGTTGCTGACTAATTATTACCCATACCAGCGCCACTTGATTTTTCTGAATATGTTTTTAGCCTAGTCCTATAGAAATATACTGCATCAAGGACATCCTTTGTATGCTAGACAGCAGCTGGGATCTAGCAAGGTGTTGTCTCTGTGCACACAGCAAGTGCTTTGTTTATTCAATAGGTCTGCTGCAAATTCTTATGCTGTTTTTTTAAAAAAAAAACTTTGAGAATTGTAACACAGACGTGAAAAACTAGAACAGGGCAAACTATTTAAGTCTGTTCCAAAAACACAATATAGAAGTACTGTACTGACAACTCACTGAACAGGGCTAGATACAATCTACTGCTTGGATTTTATGTGAACCAGGCCTTTTCAGTTGACTGATCAAAAAACAATGTTTTCTTCTTGTAATACATGACCATACAACCCGGGTTCTTTCTTTTATTTTCTAATCACTATCTTTTTCCTTCTGTCTTTGTGGTAGTTGAGTGCTAAACTACCTTTTTATCTCTAAGCAAGGTCAAGTTACACAACATCCAGCCCAACATGGTTCATGCTGGGATAAAAAGGAAGGCAGAAATGTTAAAACAATAATGTCTATGGTCTTAGGCCTACAACTAGTAATCATGACCTTCCTAGGAAAAGGCTGTTTCCTCGGAGATAACTTGAAGAAAATAGGCCTGTTTTCTGCTTTTTTCTTTTTCTTGTTTTTTACCCTTCCATGCTGTTAGAATGTTAAGTCTTTTGATCGTGTGTGCCTGGAAATTTTAAAAAAAACCTCTCTTTTTTTGCACCCATGAAACAGTGTATGCCAGCATTCCTACTCAGCAAAGGGAATAACCCTCAGACCTCTAACTCCAAAGATCCTAAAATATTACTGTTAGGTTTGACTGCTGTGATACTGGTGGGTGCAACTATATAACACTGTGCAGAAAACGCCAAAAGGTTATACATTTATTTATTCACATGATGGTTTTAAAAATTTAAAGCACATAACAAGGCTTCAGAATATATAAATACTAAAGATATAAAGATATAAATACAAACAAGTATTTATAAATATATACAGTATGATAAGTCTACATGAAGCAAGATTGATAGAACAAATTAACTAAGGAAATGAAGAGTTTGTTTTAATTATTTGTATGTGTAGATGGCCTTCCATATAATTTGAGTCCAACACATTTATTTATAAACATACTTAGAATTTTGAATAATGTGGACACAATTTTTAGTCTTAAAAAAGAGAGAGGTTTTCAATATGCTCATTTGGTTAATAATTAATTAAATAAGGCACAATAAGTATCAAAGTTTTAAGTTCAAATACAAGAAAAATGATGGATAATTGTGTGAAATTGGTTATGGAAAATTTGTCTGGCTGCTGCTCTTTCACTGGTGCTGGGAATCTAATTCTGTCTTGAAACTTTACCTTCCCTCTGTTTTTTATTGCCTTGGTTTATTCAACTCTGTATTGGTCAAAGATGAAGATAACAGCATAAAAGATCAACAAAGTTCTGGAAATGATGTCAGAGATTCTTAGGAAAAATATGCCCTGAGAAATTGAGCATCTGTTATGGAAGTTGACTATTTGAATACAAAATATAAATGGCTCCTAGAGATGGGACTTGTTGGTTAACAGAACTGGGGGGGGGGGGGATACAGTGTACATATCTTCAGAGAGCCTCTGGATCCCAAATCATTTGGTTTCATAAAAGAGAGGATCATAGAAATTTTATTCAGATTTTCACATTTGAGTCATGTCCATTCAATGTATAATCACTTTAATATTCCAACAAATAGAATCACGAGTCTCACAATTTGGACTGCCAGCTGCCAATCAGGATTCAGAGAATACCTATTCTCTCCCCACAGTAGTCAGCCAGATACTATAGGAAATCCACAAGCAGAAGATGGGCACAGTAGGATCTTCCCATTGCCTGTGTTCCCCAGCAAATACACGCTGTAAACTACTAGTAGCCA